CCAACACACCAAAACTAGAAAGCAGCCTAAGCCACTTTGGGGGAAAGAAAAAGACAGACTTGAGGTTATCATTGGGTAAAGGTGCCTTTCTTTGGTTAGTCTATGGAAAAAGGCAGGATAAATGAAGGTCTTGCATTTAATGGTTTACTGAAATTTTTCAACTAAGAAGTGCATGAAATACAGAACAGGCTGATGTTCTAAGTACTGTTGTGATGCAAAGAATACCATATTCTGGGTAGATAAAGGTTTTTAAAGGAATTATTAAGTCAGTAAGTAATTAAAAATATTAAAACATTTCTGTGCTGGTGGAAAATCAGTAAACATTTCACTTAGGAAAACACATATTTGTATTGAAAAATCACTTCCCTGCATACGTGAAAGTGGGCTATGAGAGATAAGGCTCAGAAAAACATAATCCCTGACATGATGGTTTTTCGTGTGTGTGTAGCTATTGGCTTTATTGTGTACAATTTAAAAATACAGTGAAATTGGTAGAAATAAATTAGTCTTTCACTGAATGAAATGGCTTTGCAATCTGGTCACAAGAAGAGATAGAAGCTAATGACCTCTCTAAGCTAGATTTTTCAGTCTAGTCCTGAGCAATGCTCCCTCTAGGCTGTGGAGTCTTGCGAACAAAAATTCTACTTTGTGGGCTACTGGCATTAAAGTTGTGAGAGAGCGATTTGGCTACTGCATAAATTAGTTTGCTCTGGAGCCATCCTTCCTGAGCGGAGACAAAAATGTGTGAGGCAGAGACTAAAAACCTGAGACCTAGCTCACGCTAAATCAGCTTAGAGGGAACACTGGTCCTATAAAAACTGGTTAAGTAGCCTGATGTAGCACAAGCACAACAAAAAAGTAAAAGTAAAAAGGGGATAGAGCTTTGCCACTTGCTGATGACGACTGCGTTCTAGCTCAGATTATGTTACCTATATTCCAGCATGTCTATAAGAAATGAACCAACACAGCAACTGGAAAAACACAGAGGGAGAGAATACATGCAGAAGGTCTGTAGTTGACCCGATTCCGCTGTGAACAGATCAACTGCCAAACTAGAAATGACATTGAATATGAGTTTGTTTGAATGCTTGAAATTCCATGTGTTTCTTACTCCCTCTGCTGGCCACTGTGTTGCAGTCATATGATCTGCAGTCATATGAGCTGCTTGGCCATGGTTGTTGTGATTGAGCCATCAAGTGGTTGAAGAGACAATAGCAAGCAAATGTGACCATAACCATAAAAGGTCTTTAATGTAGAACTGATTGTCTCCTTCCAACAATATCAGCACAGTCACCTAAGAAGAAAAAAGCCAACCTAATGAAGCTGCTTAAGATAATGTATTGCTTTTTTCTTTCCATACTTTCTGTGTAAACCGCACAGAGTGACAGAGATGAACAGATATACACAAGACAGTATCATATAGTATAATACAGGGTAATATTTATCCCTGAAACCCATTTGGTATCCTGAAACAAGTCCCTATTTCTCAGCCTCACACTGTTGTGAGGATAGAATGGGAGAACTCCATATCTGTCACCCTGAGCTCCTTGGAGGAAAGGAAGAAGAGGAGGAGGAGGAGGAGGAGATTGGATTTATACCCTGCCCTTCACTCGGAGTCTCAGAGCGGCTTCCAAACTCCTTTCCCTTACCCTCCCCACAACAGACACCCTGTGAGGTAGGTGGGGCTGAGAGAACTCTGAGAGAACTGCTCTTTCAAGGACAGCTTTCAAGGACAGGCAAGGTATACGACATGTCCCAGAAGGTCAATAGAAAAAAACAATAGAAAAACACAATAAGCTTGGTTCTTTCATTATATCGTGTTGTGCTGTGCATACTAATCTAGGGGAGTAGACAGTGAGGAAAAGAAAACCTTCTAATGTGAGAAAGTTACCTCTATCCGTTCCAAGGAAAAGAATGGCAGGAGAGAAGTACAAGGCAAAGAGGAGAGCCCATGGTTGTTGCTTTGCATTCCACCCCACAGTGAAGTATCTCATATACAGAGGGATTATAAAGGAAGTGGTCTTGGTTTTGTTCCTTTTTCACAAGCAACACCCTCTGCTCTTCCTGTGAAAAGGTGCCATTTCTGTCATATGATTGGAGTGGGGCTGTGGCCTTGTGGTAGACTACCTGCTTTGCATTCACAAAGCCCCAAGTCAACCCATGATAAACTTAGGGAAAAGGATCTGGTAGTAGGTGATGAGTAAGACCACTTCCAGGCTCTGCGGCTCTGCCTGTAGATCCACTGACTGACCGATTTGATCAACGTGATAGCAAGAGACTGTTTCTTTTGTATGATCTGAAGAGAAACTAGAGTATATAGCAAGAGACAGAAATTTCCTTGGGAAATTTGGATCCAATTTTGGATCCACTTCCAGATCTGAACTTCTTTTCTAAATATGTTCCCTTTCTTGCTTCTCTCCTTTCCTTTCCCATTTCTGTTGTACAATTGAGAGATCTCATGGAGAGGAGTCCCATCCTCTCCCCTTGGCCACTTGCCACTCAGCCTGCTGCCTGCAGCCCCGCCACCTCTGCCTGCCTGGCTCATGTGATGACGAACAATGGCGGTGGTGGAAAGTGTGTGGGTAGCTACCAGTTCTCCTCCATCTTTTACCTGCTGTGCCCCTGCCAGGCTCAGGCTCCTTCCCCAGGCAGTGCCACCAAAAGCAAAACATGAAAATCCTGGTGGCAGTGGGATCGCACTCAATGGCTCATCTATTAGCCTTCTGCTCTTCCTGTCTGCCCCCCCCCCGCCACTCAGAGTACCTTGTGCAGATAAAATTTCTCTTGGGGGGTGTGAGGACCCCACCAACTCATTCAGTTGAGACCCCTTGGATAGTAGGATTCCCCTCTCATTTTGAACTTGTTTTAATAGGCATTCCCTTTTACTGCCTAAGTGCCAGGGAACCTGAAACTTAGGTGAAGGCCTCATAAAGGCACCTGGGTTCAGCCATGACATCGAAAATCCCCAGGAATTGAGAGGAAGGGTGTTGCTGCAAGGAAAGCAGGACAAGTGCAATCTCCCCCAGCTCAGTGGCATATCGTCTTCAGTAACAAAGACCTTTCAACACCGGAGACGTCACCCAGTATCCTGACATGCCTCAGAGTTGTCTGCCCCGCCTAAGCAAGTTTGCTATTTCATTAACCGACTCCCAATTTCTCTTTTTCCTTTTTATTTTTTATTCAGTCAAGAAAAGCGCTCAAGTTATTAATTTGCCCTCTATCCTGTTTCAGGAATTCTTTTGCCTCCCCCACACTTTTGTGTCCACCTAGATCTGACTCACTTCAACCTAATTAAAATATGTTAAATTCATGTTGCCTCGCCCAGGCTCTTTGTTCCCATGCAAATTTGGCCTAATCAAGATATTTTCCTCAGTTTTTCCAACCAAAATTTGACAGCAGTTAACTTTAAACCAGCCAGTAAGATTCCAACTTTTTTTATCTTGACCCAATCCAAAGTCAGGATAGCCAAACTCCTACTGGGACATGGGACCTTCTGTCCATAAAAGAACCCCAGACCCAGAAAATTGTTCCTTAGATCTCCGGTCCAAATTTCTGTTTGTCAGAACTCTGGTTTCCTTATGAGAACTCCTGTTACACTCTGCAGGATTTCTCTCCCCCTTTCTGCCTCCTTGGACCTCAGCTGCATCTGCCCGTGGACCTCTCCAGAGCTCAAGCCCCAGATTTAAGGCTGTGTGTCCCTTCCCTGAAACCTACTAATTTCCCCCTTTCTACCCTCTATAAGTGCAAGCTCTTGCTGATGTGTGTGCATGCATGATTGCTTAGGGCATGTGTTCTCAGGTGCCTAGGGTAGGTTCTTTACATTTTTTATCTTTTTATTTTATTTTGTATACAATAAAGTCATTTGTTTACAATTACTCTCTCACACACTCCCTTTCTTCATAATTTTATTCTGGAGCACCCCTACCAAGATCCAGCCTGGTATAGAGAGGCCACAAGGTCTCACATTATTCCTTTCTGGAACCCTTTTAAAGCTAATTTCCCCTTCTCTGTGTCCAGTTTGTATAACAGGGATTTTTAAAAATCAATTTTTAGTTTTCTGCATTATTCTGCAAAGGGGGGGGGGCGTTCCCCAGGTCTGTAGAAAACCCTCCTTTCTCTGTACATGGCCCCAATATCCAGATTTAATGATCTGCAGTTGGGGCCATGCCAAGCGTTACATATAATAAGTGAGAGAACATATAATAAGTGAGGGAACTTCCAGGGAACATCTCATTTCCTGCTCTCCCACTACACTTTTCCTTCCCTGAAAGCCCCCATAGCCTGTCCACTTGTCCTGATTCCTTCTTTCCATCCCACCCACCAGCCAACCTACCTGACTTCATCTTTCCCTCCTTCCCTCCCCCTGACAGCCTCTCCCTGAGAAAACGGTGCTTGGTTCCAGCTGCTGCATGGTGCAGGCTGCTAGCCCAATTGCATGGTGCTGGTCACTGGGCTGGGCCCGGTTGAGCAGAGGGAAACCATCAAGACTTGCTGGGACCACCTCATTTGCCCCTGTTTCCCCCTCCCCACACCATTTCCTCTTTTCTTCCTCCCAGCAGCACCCACATACTCGTCTTTCTATGCCTCTTTCCCCCCTTCCCATTCACCCACTCACCAACCAACCTGGCAACCCTAGATTACTCCCTTAGTCCCACATCTGTTAAAATAAAATCCAGAATACTAACTAGGGCTGCCATATTTAATTGATTAACTGGCTAGATGAATCATGTCCATGATTAATTGCAAAGCAATTTTTCCCAAGATCCTTTATTAAGTATTTAAAAGCTGAGTGGTACACCCTCTCTTAGGAGAGACATTCCTTCTACTCTAACATATCTTCTGAGATAGTAAGTATATACATGTATAATCTTTAACTCACAATTACAGTTTTACTAATATGCAACTATATTTATGAACTGTTTAATTAGAACTCATATGACCAGTACATTTTATTGGAAAAGAGTCCTATTACCAGTGTTAATGATATACTGTTGCCTGAATGAATGGGAATTATAAACAAATTGAAAACCTTAAAGGCCTCCCACATGGGTAAGTATCAGGAAAGGGAACCACAAAATCAATGTTCAGTCTCCCCCTATGATTTTATTTATCCACAAGAGATGGGTCTTTGTAAGCCGAGCGTAGACACCAGGGTATTGGGCTGTGCCACATTTTGATGGTTTACCAAAGGATGTGATGCCTCTTTGTTCACCGTTGCATATCAAAGGACCACCAGAGTCACCCTGGCAAAAGAAGAAGTGAGAGATTTAATATTAACATTTGGACAAGCTGGCATGTGCCACAACATTTAAAAAAATTGGCAATTGTAGTTGTCGCTCCTCTCTTGGGTACAAATAATGTTGCGTGCCTTGCCACTTTTATTTTGGGAACTTATGTTGGTTAGAGAAAACCTTGATATCTTATTTGACCTAGTTTTGATGACTTTGCATTATCATAGTGTCCAGACTTGGTTGACAGAGAAGCAAGAATCTCTGATGATGTCTCCTTTGTCTTTCTACCCAAATTGGCCTGTGTGTTAAGTGCCATCAAATTGCTTTCAACTCATGGCAATTCTATGAATTAACATTCTCCAAAACATCCTGCTGTTAACAGCCTTGCTCAGACCTTGCAAACTGAAGGCTGTGGCTTCCTTGATAGAGTCAATGCATCTCATGTTGGATCTTCCGCTTGTCCTCCTGCTTTCAACTTTCCCGACACGTGCTATACTTACCATCTAAACTTGATAGAAAATTGGGAGCAATATTCACGGCAAAGACTGATGTAGCATTTTCTATCAGTCCTAGCCAATGTTCTCTCTAAGCTATGGAGACTTGTGAGCAAAAATTCTACTTTGTGAGCTACTGGCATTAAAGTAGTGAGCGAGTGATTTGGCTACTGCATAAATCAGTTTGCTCTAGAGCCATCCTTCCTGAGCTGAGACAAAAATGTGTGAGCCAGAGGCTAAAAAACTGTGAGCTAGCTCACACTAACTCAGCTTAGAGGGAACACTGGTCCTAGCAACGTTTTTGCCTGCAGTGCAGCTTGCCAGCTAATGGAACGCTGAACCAACAAGAATTTAGGCTCTTGCTTTATATGTCAGTTGGGCTTGCCCGTCTTTTGAAAAGAAATGTATCCGTTGTATTCTGGCTGATTCTGCACTGGCTTTTCCCTCCATTGTTTTACGAAACCTACGTTGGAACAGAAATTCCCCTCTGCATTGCACACTGCTTTCACTTCCTTTGAGCATCGGATTTTATGGTAGCCTCCACACTCCCTGCCACTTTCACTTCCTTTGCTCATTGGATTTTATGGTACCTTCTGCATAGATTTATGGTTGTTTTATGGCCATTCAGAAGTGACTTTGCAGTCAGTATGGCATCACCCTGAGGTATTTTAATGTGGTGTTGAGCTGTGGTTTTCCCAGTTGAGAAAATGTGGAGCGAATGCTAGATGCAGAATCACCCAATCTTACCAAAGATCTCCTGGCTATACTATACACAATGCCATACAACAATGAGAACAATGACGACAACGATGATGATTGAAAAACTCCTATGCAGGTGGTGGTGTTTTGGACCAATTATATATCCCATATATAATCCATGAGGAACTAAAGCTGATCAGAAACTAATATTACAGGCCTACATCAAATCATTATAGATTTGAAGTAGTGTCCAAAATTGCTGTTTGACGGAAAATATGTGGGTACAACTTGCTGGTTTCTTAATACAACTAATTAAAGTCCAAACACTGTATATTGTTAAATTCAAGTGTTCTTATTGAGTTAAAGAATAGTTATTTGTTGTCAAACAATATGTACTGGAAATACTTATTATAGGAGAAAAATAGGGCCAAATGCTGCCCACAGAGTTTGCAGGGGCAGAAAACTTATAAAAATAAGATTGTGAAAGCTGTGAACTAGGACATTGGCATTCAGGAGTGGGCCCCTAGCTGGCAAATCATTCTCTTTCTTACCTTACATGTATCTCTCTTTCCTTTCTTGTCACCGGCACATACCATGTTCATTGTGACAACAGGTTTGGAATTGTAGTGTTTCTTCTCATTGCAGATGCTTCTCTCAAAGACTGTGACATTAGCTTCCTGCAGTGTATCTGAGCCCTTTCTGTCTTTGTTATGAGTAATGCCCCATCCGGCTACGAGACACTGTGTGCCTCCTTTGAGATCTTTGTAAGTATTGGTAAGCTTAATGGTCTTCACGTATTGGTTGAGTTTTGCTGTTCCGTTCAGCTAAAAGAATAATAAATCCCAGAAGTGATGAGCAAGTTTAGTTCTTAAGATTTCATGCCACAATACTATTTGCAATATTGCTTGTTGTTTGTCACCCTCCGCCAAGGAAAAACAGAAAAAAATGGTAGACTTCAAAAGTGTTTACCCTTGGTGGTCGCCCAGATAAATATCAATGGAAGGTGCTGGCAGTTGTGGATCTTTCCCCAGTGATCGTTTGGAACCTGGGGGAACCTTCTTCTTGTGCGCAGGCACATGTGAATAAATATCCATGCAAGTCAGGGGGCTGCACTGAGGAGGGGGAAAAGCCACCCTCCCGCCTATTGCATCCGCAGAGTGGGTGCTTGCAGAAGAGGGAGGAGGGGGCAATTTTGTGCTGTCCTCCCAGTCCACATGGCTATTAGAAGAAGAAGAGGAGGAGGAGGAGATTGGATTTATACCCCACCCTTCACTCGGAGTCTCAGAGCGGCTTACAATCTCCTTTCCCTTCCCCTCCCCACAACAGACACCCAGTGAGGTAGGTGGGGCTGAGAGAGCTCTTGACAGAAACTGCTCTTTTTCAAGAACAGTTCTTATCAGAACTATGGCTTGCCCAAGGTCATCCAGCCAGGTGCAAGTGGAGGAGTGGGGAATCAAACCCGGTTCTCCCAGATTAGAGTCCGCTTACTTAACCACTACACCAAACTGGCTCACAGTTTCGTTTTTTGGTCCCACAATCCCAGGAATCATCTTTCATGGGATTGCAATTGAGCAATAAAGGGACATCCCTCACACCACGGCTACCATAGGAATGAAAACAATGAGTTAGTAAACTGTGTCTTGTAAGTTACTCTTTATTAAACTTACAGTTGGTATGTATAGGATAGCCTATGGCAGTCTTTATGAAAACAGTATCCACTGAAAACTTGCCAACTGAACCAGGGAGCTGGGGCGCTTACAGATACTGCATTTGCTAATAACATAATCGTAAAACTGAACTCTAATTGCCATTTGAGTGACTACTTCAGTTTCAGACAGTTGAATTTGGTGGTAAAATATATTACTCACATGGCAAGAAGGATGAGCTTCTGAAATTTCTTATAAACTTAAGGTAACACAATACAAAGTGTGATTTCCATTAGCATTTATTGTGTTGTTTTAAAAATGTACCTGCAGAAGCATAATGTCGTTGTCAAGGGTCTCCCAATCAAAGCATGGGTAAGGTACCAGTTTAGCAGTTTTAAAAATCTGCTGGCTTTCTTCTTTCTTAGATGATGAATGAGCTCCAAGAATGATTTCAGGATTGCTGCCACTGCGAAGATAAAAAGACACTTATAACTTAAAGGGTGACCAGAGTTTCATTTCTCATCAGCATTGTCCTTTCTGATAAGTTCTTCACAGTGGAACTTGTTTTGTTCACCGCCTGAATCAGTCCCTGCCATCTCCACTTGCATGGTCTCATATATTGGGAAATATTTTCTTTTTCTGCCTGAGATCTTAGCAAGCTACTGTCAGAGTATATAGTGAGCTAGATGGACCAATGCAGGTCCACAAACATAAGGCAACTATATGCACATTCATCACTATATACTTTTGAAAGGCTGACCTCCCCCCCCCCCCCCCCCCCCCCCCCCCCGCCAACACATAGCTTGTGGTTTACCTTGGGCAAATATTACTGGATGCCACACTCACCCTTTTACTCTCCCCGGTTTAAAATACTATAAAACACCAGTTTCAATCAATGACACACAAGTTAGCAACAAGAATCTTTTGACTGGTGATGAAGAGATACTGCAATACTTGAAGGGAGTAAAGAAATATACCGAAAACTCATGTGGAATTAAAAATCAGAAATGAGGCTTGTTAAATGATTTCAAGCATTAAGTATCAGTTAGATGTTCACACAAATGGAACTCTCGGGAGGACAGACTGAAGGACAAACTAGACCATACTGCATCCCTGTGGTGGACTCAAGGATGCAGTTGTGATGGAGAGCAGAATATTCCACCTTTCTCCTTCCCTATTCCATTCAGACCACTCAGATCTGAAACACTGAATGGAGTGCTGGAGGGGGGAAAATTACTGGAGGTGGTTTGTAACATCCAACTATAGACTGAAGGGGGGGGTGAGGTAGAAGGGGTAGAAGGTATTCTGAGATAGGCAGGAAGTCCAACAGGGAGTTTTTAGAGTATTGGTTTAGACAGGCAGGGCTTGGGTGCTGTTCCTGAAAAAGCAGTAAAGAGATAAAGCTTGTCTGTTTATTGTTATCAAGTTTAGGCCTCCTAGCAAACATGCAAAGTAACAATTGAGCATAAAGATCCAAGAATTTGTACTATCTATAGTAACAGAGTGGGAAGGAAATAAGGGTCACACAAGTTGAATAAAAGTTGAGTGTGTTTGTTATCCCTAACTCCAGTGCTCTTATCATTACTTAGACACCAAAGCAGTACTTTAGGATCCACAGGATATGGTCTTGCTCAATGACAAATTATGTCCAGCAGAATTTGACAAACAACAACAGAAATCCAGACTTACAGATTACAGTGAGCGGCTGTTAAAACCCAGCTTTGCTTGACCAAAGTTCCTCCACAGTAGTCTTTTCCTTTGATTAGGGCCATGAAAGGTCGTGAATGTGGAGATGATTCTTTCCCTCCAATTATACCGGCACATTGACCTAAGCAAAAACAAGCCATGCCAATCAGGTTGGGGGTCTATAGGTTTTATCTATTAACTAGGAATAAGGCCCATTGTGGAAATAAATACAAGCTCTAGAAAGAGGCTCTGGGAGAGTGCCAAGGCCATGGGCACTCAGTGTCAATTTGCTGTGGTGACTTCAGCAGGGTATAATGACACTGAGTCCACCATTTTTTCTCCAGAGGAACTGATCTGTGCTACCAAGCAGGAGAAGCATCTTCCTCTAGAGAGAAAGCTGTTTGCCAGTAATTCTGACAGCACAGTGGCTGAAGGGGGAGGGGGCGGGGAAGAGGAGCAGACCCAGCACCCGGCCAATGGCACGCGAGTACTCTTGAGTGGCGGCTAACGGGCCAATGGCTGACAGAGCGCATTTCACAGCCAATGGGAGAGCTGGAAAGTGCCACTCCACTTCACAATTATATATAAGGAGAGATAACACTACAAAGTAGTATAATAATGGCAAGGAAGCCCATGCATCCTGTGATCTGCCAGACTGAGAACTGTTCACCAGTTTTGTGTTATAATAACTCCATTTTGTCAATCCCAAGCAGGCAACAAAATGGGTTTATTGATTTCTTGATTGGCTGCTGCACATGACTGATGGGACGGATTTGGCTTTATGGGCCTTACGTCGTGCTCCAAAGAATGAATGCATATACAGTTAGGGTTACCAGCCTCCAGGTGGGGCCTTGAGATCTCCCAGAATTACAACTGATTCCCCGGACAACAGAGATCAGATCCCCCTGGAGAAAATGGCTGCTTCAGACTATATGGTATTATACCCCAGCTGAGGGGCATCCTCTCCCCAAACCCCACCCTCCCAGTCTCCACCGCCGAAATCTCCAGGAATTTCCCAACCCAGAACTAGCAATCCTGTCACTGCAGTCCTATGCATAGTCACTCCAGTCTAAGCCCACTGATTTCAGTTAGTATAGACCAAGTCATCCTGCACAGGACTGCATTTATATAGCAAAACTATGTTACTGTCAGTATGATGTCAAAAGGCAGAACGCTGCATAAGAACATAAGAGAAACCAATGTTGGATCAGGCCAATGGCCCACCCAGTCCAACACTCTGTCACACAGTGGCCAAAAATACCAGGTGCCATCAGGAGGTCCAGCAGTGGGGCCAGGACACTAGAAGCCCTCCCATTGTTGACCCCCTCCAAGCACCAAGATGACAGAGCATCACTTGCCCCGGAGCCCCTATCTATATCTTGTGGCTAATAGCCACCGATGGACCTCTGCATGCATCAAACATTCTATATTTGGTCTGTCTGCTATTGAATATGTGGTCAGGGAGGCAGGCTGTGTTTGGCTGAAAAAGTTTCTAACAGTATCAACTGAATGCAACACTTTTTGCATCTGACTAAATGGGCTCCAGCTTGCAAAAGTTTGTGCCAGAATAAATTTGTTAGTTTTTAAGGTGCCACAAGACTCTTTTGATATTTGTATGCAGCAGACTAATGTGGCTATCCTTTTGCTTAGCTGTGTGGCCACCCCAGAGAAATAGACCATTCTAATCAGGCCCGACAGTTCCACTGATATAAATCCTCAGTGCAATTCTGGGAAAGAAGGAGTTTGTTTTATACCCTGCTCTTAACTACCTGAAGGAGTCTCAGAGTGGCTTACAGTCTCCTTCCCTTCCTCTCCCCACAACAGGTACCCTGTGAGGTTGGTGAGGCTGAGAGAGCTCTGAGACAACTGTGACTGGCCCAAGGTCACCCAGCAGGCTTCATGGGGAGGAGTGGGGAATTAAACCCAGTTTTCCAGATTAGAGTCCACCGCTCTTAAACACTATACCAAGCTGGAAGCTGAGCAGAGCAAAGAAGCAGCATTTAAATGGGATTTAATCATGCTTATCACAATTTTATCAAGCCCTGATTATTTTATTATTTTATTTATCTAAGCATTTTTCTGCCAGCTTTCTACCCAACGTAAGGCCCCAAATGCAGCAAACTGTCAAAATATAGAAACAACTTTATATAACAATTAAAAACAATTAGATAAAACACACAAATGAGAAGAAGGATAAGTGAGAACACTGGTGAAAATAAAATGCTGGGGGGGGGGGAACTGAATCCTGGGAAGGGAATTCCATATTTTATTGCCATGATCAAAAAGACACAAAAAGGCAGATGACCATAGTGATTGGGTACGTATGAAAGGGAGTAAGCAGTCCTTAAATTATGCTGGCCACAAGCCATATAGGGCTTTAAAAGTCAATACCAACACCTTGAATTGGGCCTGGAACCAAATTGGGAGCCACGGTAGGTGGAACAACACTGGAGTGATCTGGACTCTATGACTCATCCCAGCCAGTATTCTGTATCAATTGAGTTTCCAGACGTTCTTCAAGGGCAGTCCCCCATGAAGCAATATTGCAGTATTCTAATCTAGGTGTAATCAGGGCATGCACCCAGTGGCAAGGAAAGGTTACAGCTGGATCACCAGCCAAAGCTGGTAAAAGCTGTCGCTGACCACCGCTGCTACCAGCTTATCCAACGAGGCCAGCTCCAGTAGCATGGCCAAGCTATAAACCTGCTCCTATGAACTACACACAGCCTAACTAAGCATTATATCCAAAACCCAAAGGATGTTTCTATTAAGGGAAAGCAAACTCGGTGGGGCAAACTGGAAGGCAAGACGATGTGGAGGAGGAAGAGTAGTTAACTGTTCCCCACCTGCAGTATTCAATCACCTGCTAGAAAGGTATTTACCCCTCCCCAAACCATATTTACTTACCTGAAGCAAGCAACTGCTCACGTTTGCTTCTATTTACAAATGTCCATCTCTTTCCTTTCAGAATGGAATTCAAGGTGTTATTCATCCTAGCAACAATACAGGTTAAGCCTGGAGTCCTCCCCACTCTGTCAGACATGACAGATGTAAGCTGCAAGTTCTCCTCAATACACGGAATGCCCGGTTAAAGTTAAGATTAGCGCACAGGTCCAGAAGGGGCTTCAGCCAGCCCCTGGCACCATTCTCCCAACCTGAAACTGTCCCACAGGGTACTATTTGGGGAAATCCATGTGTTACATGGGGAAGGGGCTGTGGCTCAATGATACAGCATCTGGTTGGTATGCAGAAGGTCTCGAATTCAATCCCTGGCATCTCCAGGTAAAATGATCTGATGGTAGGTGATGTGAAAGACCTCTGCTTGGGACCCTGGAGAGCCACTTCCAGCCTGTGTAGACAATACTGATTTTGACGGACAAAGGGTCCAATTCAGTATAAGGCAGCTTCATGTGTTCATGTGTACCTGGGATAAAGGTGCACTGCCAGGCCAATTGCTGGGGTCAGGAAAACGACATGGGAGGAAGACAAGTTCTTTTTCCAAATATGACATGGTCCTGATCAGAATTAGGCACCATGTGCTTGAAAACTGAGAATAACCTGACAGTTACATCTGATGCAGGGCAGAAGGGGGAACCCCAAACTCAACCTGTATACTCCACAATATCAGCACTTTGCCAGATACTGTGCAGACCATAGAAAGTACAGATCTATTTCAGAAGGTTGCAATTGACAGTCCAGACATGGGTAGGGTAAAAGTCCAGATACAACATGATAGCACTTACCTTTGGGAATCCCCGTAAGCAGAATGGCAGCAGAAAAATATAAGACAAAGGAAAGCTCCATCATTACTGCTTTGTGTTTCTCCCCAATTAAGTATCCAATATATATATTGAGAACATAAAGGAAGTGGGCTCTGGGTTTTTTGTGCTATGACTGTTCTTTCAGAAACAGAAAGATGAATCACCCCCAATGTGGCCTTTGGGCTTTCTAAGCATTGGAGAGTGCTGACTAGTTTTAGCGGGGTAGATGCTGTCTCACTGCGTACGTGGTCTGCTATATATGAATATTTCCTGTAACATCTGTATATTTGATGTTGCTGTGAAAAACTGAGGTGACAAATAC